TAACGCACTTGAAAGCAATATTGCACATTCTGATTGGCTGTATCTGTAACTGTGCTGGTTGGAGATCAGTGCAGTCACATCGATTCCCATGATGTATGAGCCAAGGAAAAGTGATGCTGGTCTGGAGGGGAGCTAGACAGGATGTGTGCAGCACCATGTGCAGCCCTGGAACATTAATATGTAGGGGAGCAGACGTGCAAGATTCAAATTTGTTCAACAATACCAGATCTGCAGTTCTGTTGAAGTCTAACAATAAGATAATGCATGGAAAGAGGTAATGTGCTTAATACTGGCTTTAACTTCCCTGGCTTAGGAAATGACAGTCAAATGTCAGTGCTGTTGCATGGAATGAATGAAATGTGCATATGATGCAAGTGTGTGCTTGTTTAAATTCACATGTGCAGTGCATGGGTAGCACTATGAGGTGAGTGAAGTAGTGCAGGTCACCAAACAGGTGGCAACACCAACAGCTCGCAGCAGTAGCCAGACTGGCTTACTTGACCTGGAACCTTGTGGTAGGCAGGGGAAATTATGCATTGACCCCGAAGAGCAGGCTGATGCAGAAGCAGGAGAAAGGTTTGATTAATGAGGTTTTCTAGAAAGAATCAATATGAACATATTCAAGGAGATGCCCCCAAAAATGAGGGAATATGCAGCTTCAGGTTTTGGGAGGGAGAAAAGTCATGGGATAATGCTGCACCTATTGGACGCCAGCTGAAGGAGGGGTAAATGGGATGGAGGACCCATTGCTGTAGCAGCCTAGGTCACAGTGCCTAGGGACAGCATGAGCTGAAAGAGGAGGCCTGAATCAGACGCAGACTGATGCTTACACTCACAGTTAAATGAATGATGGGGAGAAGGGAGAGACAAAACAACAGATATGGGCTTGGGTCACAGATGCGGTGGGCTGGATGCCCAACAAGAAATGGAAAGGGGAAAAAGAGAGAGATTGGAGCAGGCGCAAATAGGAAGAGAGAAAAAGGAAGAGAAACTGAGAGACAGAATGTCTGCAGGCTTTCAGAGTTGCTGGAAGGCTTGACGACAGCAGGAGAACTGAAAGAAAAGCTCAGATGATACAGCAGTAGCACAGCAAACTGGTTTTTCAGTAGAGGGTTGATGTTGAAGCTGA